TTTATTCACCTATATGTATTCCTCTATTTCCCCTCTGATTTCTGACTGACCTCTGACCCCTCCCTTCTTTTATTGATATGTTTGTTTTTTATTTGAATAACTATCCCTTCATCTCTGTGCCTAGATACATATCCCCCTCCCTCAGCTTTATTGCAAGCCTATCTGACCCTCACATATCTTTATTCAATAGCCTGATTTCAGAATTATCAAGCCCCAATATTGCTGTAAGAAAGTTTGATACCCGCCCTCCAGTGGCGTACACACAACCACGGGGCCCCGGTGCAAAACTGATCCATGGGGCCCCCCCCCCCCTATCCCCCCCACCGCCACCACATCTCCCCCACCGCCACCCCATACAGACACACACAGAAATACATAGACACACACACACAGAGACGCACACACAAACACACACAGACACATACATAGACACACACATACACACAGATACATACAGACACAGTCACATACACAGAGACACACATACATACACGCAAAATATTTTAGTCACCCTCCTATTACCTACCTTTTAGGTGCAGGAGGGTGACTTCCCTGGGGTCCAGTGGCTCAGGTTGATGGGTTGATGGGTCTGCTTCCTCCCGCGCGGGCTTCTGGTGGTTGCTGGGAGGAATGACCGTGGCAGTCACTTCCTCCCAGCGTCTGACATCATCAGAGGGGGCCCGGTCCCGGCAATTATACCGCGTGGACAGGGCCGCAACACATTGCAGGCCGGGCCCCCTGGAGTGACGGGCCCGGTTACAGCTGCGACCGCGCTATGTATGCCGCTGCCGCCCTCCCCTCACCACCACACCGCATACTCATTACATTTATAGATTGTCCGTCCGACTCAAATTTTAGATAAGTAAAAATAACAGGTGTACACACTGCCTCTTATTAGTACACTCCTGCACTTTCTTAACCCATAAAACTTAATATTTACCCTACCTCCACCTGCTCTTAATATTCCAATTATTTCCAATTTACTTTTTCCCAGTTTAGCAAAGTCTTCTCCTCCTCTTTATTTCCAACTTCTCCCTCAGTATAAAATCTCTCCTTACACCCACTTCACTCATCCCCCCATCCACATGTGCCCTTCTCTGCTACACCCCCCTCCCCCCTTTGCTCATCTCATGCCTTGCACTCATTTTTTTACTCTCTGACTCTTACCCACAATCGATCTCATCCTAGACCCCATGCATACAAAACCCACACACCTCCTGTCACTTTCTTTCCTCCTGCTTCTAGCAGCTGGTGATGTCTCTCCCAACCCAGGGCCCTTCACCTTCTCTACACACATTAAGAAAACCAGAAACCCCACAAACCTCATCACAATACCCTGCCCTTTACCCTCACTTACCAACATTCAGTGTGCACTTTGGAATGCCCGCTCCATCTGCAGTAATTTAAAATCAACAGCCATACACTACTTTTTCATCTCAAACTCACTCACACTACTGGCACTTACAGAGACCTGGCTGTCCCCCTCTGATAGCGCTACTCCTGCCTCTTTATGTTTTGGTAGGCTACAATTCTCTCAAACTCCCAGACTCAACTGCAAAGGAGGTGGTGAAGGGATCCTTCTCTCCCCTCAATGTACCTTTCAACCAATCATAACTCTTCCTTGCCCTATTCTTTTGAAGTACACACTGTCCGCCTATTTAAACCCACTCCTTTAAGAATTTATATAATCTACCACTCCCCCTAGATGACATGCAAATGTATTTGTCCTTCCCTGATCTCTCCCCGTCCCTCTTGACTAGTGTCTCTGACTGCCTCTCTGCTATTTCTAACTGGATGGCTGCCCACTTCCTTAAATTCAACTTGACCAAAACTGAAATTCTGGTCTTTCCTCCCTCATGTGTTGCTACTCCTGTATATGTCTCCCTCCAAGTCAACGGTGCTACCATCAGCTCCACCATGCAAGCTCGCTGCCTAGGTACAGACTTTAAGCTGTTTGCAATGAACAAATGAAACAAAAGCAATTGAAATAGCGCAACACCATAAATGCTTTGAGTGGTTTCTCCAAATTCAAAGAAAGCAAAAAGAAAGAAAATGCAACTTATAATGAATTTTCTAGTCTTCAAATTATTCATCCCCTTCATGGCAAGCATCTTTAGTCACCCTTAGAGCACCCTTTTGTGGTTATGACCTGCAACAAACAAGATGCATAGCCAGACACTAGCTTCTGGCAGCATTACTGAGGAATCTTCACCCATTGCTCATGAGCAATGACCTCCAGTTCAGGAATATATTAAGGATCGTGTGCTGCAACCACCTTCTTAAAACTCCACCAGAGATTTTCTATGGGGTTCAATTCAGGTAACTGATGGCCACTGCAGGACTTCTTGACGTATGCTTGGGATCATTGTCTTATTGGAAGGTCCAATGACGCCCAAGCTTCAGCTTCCTCACAGACAGCATTACATTTTCTTTTAGGATTTCCTGATACCTCAATGAATCCATCTTGCCTTCCACATGCTGCAGATTTCCCATGCCAGAGAGGGCAAACCAACTCTAGAATATCACTGAGCCACCACCATGCTTAACTGTAGGCAGAGTGTTCTTTTCAGTGTATGGTTCATTCTTCTTCCCCCAGACATAGCGCTGATCCACTGGGCCGAAAAGTTCTAGTTTTGTTTCATCACTCCACAGCACTGTATTCCAAAACTTCTATTTAAACTTCTATTTACTTATTTATATGATTTTGAGCATATCTGAAAATTCTTTTTTTGCGCTTTTGGATTAGTAGTGGTGTACATTTTGGAGTTCTGGCATGAAAACCTTCTGCATTTAGTACGCACCTTACTGAGCTCGCTGAAACCTCAGTGATTGTTGCCACCAAGTCTTGTGGTCACTCAAGTGTTTTTCACAACCTGCCTTCTCAGAAATCTAATTGTAGCCATAGATAGCTTCCTTTTTTTGCCCCATCCAGGCAGTGTAACCACTGTTCCTTCAACTTTAAACTTGTGAACTATACTTCCAACAGTGCCTTCCCTATCCTTTTGTATCCTGTTCCTTGTTTGTGAAGGGCAATGTTATCTCCTATTAACTTTGTGGATCATTCTTTTGACTTAACCATATTTCTAACATGAAGTCAACCATGACACTCAACAAACCCCTAGCTAGTTCAGGTATTTCAAGTGTTCCAGCTCAAGCACACCTGTTGCAAATAATGAAGCTGATTGATTAGTTCCATAAGGTGTGCTTGAGACAACACCTGTTTTGCATATTTGTGCTGTTGTGAGGGATTCTATTCAGGGGGTTGAATGTTTTTGAGACTGGAGAAGTCATTATGAGTACCATTTTCAGTTGAATTTGGGAAAACCACTCAAAAACATTTGTTGTGTAGAGCTATTTCAGTTGCTTTTGTTTCATTTGTTCATTGAGAACAGCTGAAAGTCTGTACATTTTGGCAATAAACCTGATTTCTAGGGGGTTATATTTGGGAAGTCATGGGAAAAGGCCTTGTAGAATCACCTTTAGCAGCAATAATTTGAAGTAATTGAATTGTGTATGACTCTCCCATTGATTTGGAGGAATTTGGGTCCACCCTCCTTTCCAACGTTGCTTCAGTTCATTGAGGATTGCTGGCATTTGTTTATCCGCAGCTCTCTTACGGTCCCGTCACAGCATTTCAATCTGATTGAGGTCTGGGCTATGACTGAACCACTGCAACACCTTGATGGTCAAACTCTAGAATACTTTGGTATACAGAGGAGTTCATGGTCGACTCAATGTCTGCAAACTTCCCAGATCCTGTGGCTGCAAAACAAGCCAAAATCATCACCCCTCCACCATTGTGTTTGACAGTTGGTATGAGGTGAGGCCTTATGGTTGAACATTTCCACATTGGTCTTGCCTGTTCCAAGGACATTGTTCCAGAAGACTTGTGGTTTGTTCAGATGCAACTTTGCAAACCTAACCTGTGCTGCCACTTATTTTATTTTTTTCGACAGAAGAGGCTTTCTCCTGGCAACCCTCCTAAACAAACCATACCAAACCAAGTTTCCCCCTTCTCCCCCCAGTAAGTGGGTTAATCTCATAAGAGCAGACATTAGGTTGCTAGAGTAGGACCTGGAAAATGGGGTACACTGACGTTGGGGTAGGCTTATGCAATTTTTGATCATAAACTGTAACTAAACCCCCATTATTTTTGCCTAAGTTAGGGGTAAAAAAAAAAAAAAAAAGAAGTTGCTAGTGGATGGGTGAATGCACTAGATCTTGTGTATTGTATAGTATTATTATTATTATTATTATATAGTAGTAGTCCCAGTTGTGATAGGAGCACTCGGGGCTGTGACTCCCAAGTTGGGGGGATTGGCTTTAACATATTCCAGGTAGAACGTGGTCCAGAAGAGTACAGCTCCAGGAACAGCTAAGATACTGTGTAGAACCCTTAACTACCAGGCCTCTGGTAGAGGACCCGAGAATGAGGAATGAGCATAACACCCAGGAGGTGTGAGAAAAACAATTTATTTTTTCCAAATATAAGATTTTTTATTATATATCAGCTGGATTTGAGGTAAGCAAAATCTTAATTTAGGGAGCAGGTTATTTATAACATTAGGAAGTGAACAAACCTACCCAAGTGTTTAATGTCTAAAATCATATAAAATATAAAAAGCATGTTAATCAGATGGAAGCATCAGATAAGTTTTGGAACACTAGATTTTGAAACTGAATAAAATACATTTTTATTACACATAACTTCCCATTTTAAATAACTTTATACAAAATGCAGTGTATAAATACTCCTTCCATACCATATTTTGCAGAAAGAAAAAAAAAAAAAAAAACGACAAAAACATTCAGAAATGAAAATATAAAAACTATTTATAAGCATCTTGTTCAGTAAGAGCAGGATGAAACCGTTCTATAATTTGTTTGCCACAGACTTTACATATGGCTTTAAACTTTTAATTCTAGTTACCATGTTAATGAATATGGTCACTGTTCCACTCTAATAAAATCTATATCCTTTACACACGCATGCCGGACAAGATGTGCACCTACTCTATGTAAATGGTAAATATGAAAATGTGTGTGTGTATATATATATACACACACACATACACATTTTCATATTTACCATTTACATAGAGTAGGTGCACATCTTGTCCGGCATGCATATATATATATATATATATATATGTATATATATATATATATATTTATTTTTTTAAGTACAGTTTGGGATTTTGTTTGTGAAAAGTGTAATTTTGAGGGCAAAAACCATTACCTCTCAAAATTACATTATGTGGGGGGGTTTTTGAGAGAGAGATAAAGAGAACTATTTGGTTGTTTCAGCTGTAAACACCCACACAATTGAGTATTACAAGAAACTGCTCTCTTTGCATTGTTAAAAAAGTAAATCACTGCATCCTATGATTGAAGCAACATTTCACACAGTAAATTTCTTTTTTCTCCTTACACAAGGTCTGCTTAGGATTTCAATTAAAGTGATTTGTACTCTCAGTGGATCAGACTGCATTATACTAAAGTGACACAAACAAAACAAAACACCTTTTTACTTCTTCACGGTAAAAAAGTGTCAGTACTCTCCTTGATTAAAATCACATACCCAATATCCTCCTGGTGCTGCCAAACCAATTCTGATGAATCAAGACCTGGAATTCACAAGACCTCTTGGATTAGCATCAGATCCTTTCCGTCATGCAAGTTGGGGCCTCCATTGATTAGATTTTTTGTTCCAGCATATCAGACAGACAGACAATGCAATGCCCACTGCCATCTGGGACCACCATTGTCACGAAGGGGTGTACGTGGTCTGCAACAATCTCTAGGTAGGTTTTACGTGTCAAAGTAACAGCCACATGCATGCCAGGACCCAAAGTTTCCCAGCAGAACATTGCAGAGAGCATAATACTGCCTCCATCGGCCTATCTTCTTCCCATATTGCATCCTGTTGCCATCTTTTCACCAGGTAAATGATGCACATGCACCCAACCATCTGATCTAAAAGAAAATGTGAATCATCAGACCAGGCAACCTTTTTGTTACATGGTTAAGTTCTGATGCGCACGTCTGCAGCAAATCACAATGCATTCTGTGTTCTGACCCTTTCCTTTCATGGCCAGCATTAAAGGGAGAATATACGGTCAGGAATACAAACATATATTCCAGACATAGTGTTGGTGTGGCTGTTAAGGTGGCCTGCCCCATTCCGAATACATGGAAAAAGCTAATTTACTCACATTTTCCCCCCCATGCCAAGCCTGTCTCACCTATGCCTGCCCCACATCCATGGCTGACATCAATCTTGATATTTCAGCCAATCCAATGTTTTTAGATCTTTTAGAGATGCATTGATGCAATCAATTATTGCATCCTCCAAGGGTGATGTTCAGCATCTCCATGAAGAGTGTGGAGATGCTGAACATCAGTGCAGCACTGAGACAGGAAGCACCTCCAGTGGCCCAGTGGCCCAGTGACTGCCACTAGAGGTGTTACGAGCCAGCAAAGTAAATACTGCCTATGAAAAGGTTAAGCTGTAGTTGTTCTGGTGACTATAGTTTCCCGTTACATGTTTCAGCAATTTAAACTGCAGTAGCTCTTCTATATGGTCGGAACAGATGGGCTAGCCTTGCTCCCCGCATACATCAATGAGCCTTGGACACCCCCGAAGCCAGTTCACTGGTTATCCTTCCTTTCACCACTTTTGGTAGGTACTAACTACTGCATATCAGGAACAATTTACAAGACTTGACGTTTTGGAGATGCTTTGACCAAGTTGTCTAGTCATCACTACTTGTCCCTTGTCAAAGTCACTCAGATCTTTCTGCTTGCCTTTTTTTTACCTACTTTAAAATATGAAATTCAAGAACTGACTGTTCACTTGCTGCCTAATAAATTCCACGCATTGACAAGTGACATTGTAACAATATAATGAATGATATTCACTTCACCCATCAGTGGTTTTAATGTTGTGGCTGATCAGTGTAGAGTGAAAAATAAAAGGTCGCACTGTCACAAACTGAAAGCTGGTACCAAAGCACAGAGTGTCTGACATAGAGGTTGTTCACTTAAAGAGGTAGACAATTAGTCCCTGATGGAAACTTATACATAAACACCAGATTGAAAAAGTTGTGGCAAGAGAAACAAGGGGCAGATGTGAGATTTAAACCAAATAAACAACCACTGAATGCAAGTATATTTTGCTTTGTGTAATAAAATTAAAGAAGGGTGTTACTTTCTTTTTAAACTATTTAAAGCACTCACCCATGGTTTATGATACTGCAGACAGTACAAATGAAAGCCAAACTTCCTATATCACGACTGAAGTAAAAAAAAAAAAAACTTAAGAATTTATACTCCCTTGCTTTACATTCTAATGTTCTAAGACTGGTCTCATTGTAGCAGTAACAATGCTAATTCACATGACATTACAGTCATGAAAAAACAAAACCAAAAAACACACAAATGGAGTGATGGCATAAATAATGTAACACTGAAAATATGCAGACATAAAACTTATGTTTCCTCCCCATTTTAACATGAAGAATCAAGAAGAATGGGCAAGAGATACGTCTTATGTTTCACTGCCAAGGACAGCTCTTTAGAATATAATTCTAGATTTTAGAGTAACAGATACAATAATTTACGTATCTATATGTAGACCAAAGGTATTTACTCAATGTCTCTTTTTTGTAAATAAAAATGTGTGATTTGTCCATTCCATGACGAGTAACGCTAACGCACACAGTACTGTAAGAAGCAATCTTGTTTCAAATTACTGAAATATCTGACCTGAAACTAATGTGGTGTGAGAATGCAGGGATAAAAATAGATTTAAAAAAAAAAAAAGACACATTGGGCTATATTTCACAGTTATTGATCTCTAGGCGATAGCGGCCTTCAATTACGAGAGTGCTAAATATATTTATGAACACTTATGTGTTACGAAAAGATAAGGACAATATATATATATAAAAAAAATCTATACATAAAGCCAAGTGTTTTCACAATTTGCTTTTCCACAGTAAAAGCAGCTGTATGTGTATTATTGCCATCAGTGGAACATGCTATATTATATAAAATGCAGTTTTCTGGATAGACAGAGACAACATTCATCAAGTAACCATACATCTGCTGCCAATGACATGCAATGACTAAGGGGTAATTCTTGAAGGACAGCCCACAATGAAAACAAAAATGTTAACAGAAAGGAAGTGAACAAGTATTTGTAATTGAATGCATTCCATTGTTTAAAAGCAAGGCATACCAGACCAACCTGATAACAGTAATATAAATAAATTTAAAAAAAAAAATGAATGGAGAATGACATTGTGTAAAGTCCAACAACATACATAAACAAATAAAAAATAAAAATAAATAAACAAATAAAAACCTTCAGGAATGAGTTACAGTTTGTTCCAAATCTTAGAGTTGCTTATTTTTTTAATTATTTTGCAAAAGAAAATATATGTAGCACCTTAAAGGACCACTATAGTGCCAGGAAAACATACTTGTTTTCCTGGCACTATAGTGCCCTGAGGCTGCCCCCACCCTCAGGGTCCCCCTCGCGCCCAGCTGGGGAGAGGAAAGGGGTTAAACTTACCTTTTTTCCAGCGCCGGGCAGGGAGCTCTCCTCCTCCTCTCCGCCCTTGATCCTCCTCTTCGGCTGAATGTGCATGCGCGGCAGGGGCTGCACGCGCATTCAGCCAGTCTTATAGGAAAGCATTCATGCTGCTTTCCTATGGACACTTGTGTCTTCTCACTGTGATTTTCACAGTGAGAATCACGCAAACGCCTCTAGTGGCTGTCAATGAGACAGCCACTAGAGGCTTTAGAGGCTGGATTAACCCATTTATAAACATAGCAGTTTCTCTGAAACTGCTATGTTTATAAAAAAATTGGTTAATCCTAGAGGGAACTGGCACCCAGACCACTTCATTAAGCTGAAGTGGTCTGGGTGCCTAGAGTGGTCCTTTAACATTGTAACTATTTGTATAATCTTACAATACATGCAGCCACACTTACATAGAAATATATGAATGAGCACTCATGGTATGCTCATAAGTTTTTATTTTTTTTGTTTTTAATTCTTTATTTAGGACAGGCACAAACAAAGCACTGAATCACGCATATTGAACATACAGTGCCCATTTTACAATAATTTACCAGTACAAATACAAAAAACAAATCATAATATTGAAGTTACAACAGTCAAGGACATGTTTGGCAAAAAAGTCAATAGGCCACTATCCTCTGACACATTGGACTTACTGTCCATTGGAAGCTGTATGTCCAAGAAACACGCATAGACACTTTAAGCATCTCCTGGGATGTCAGACAGGGCAGTAGTGGTTGAGGCAGT